TTTTTTTTTTTTATTAAGTAGCAGAAGAGGAATTTCAGTTCTTTCGAAAACAAAGTCTGGATTTTAAGAAAATGTCTAAATAAGACTGATGTGTTTGTAATTTAAATAGGATATTTAGGGTAGCAATAAACAGTTAATCAGTTAAAAAGTACATGTTACTAACATCTTACCTCTCTGCAGAAGACAGTTCTTGTCTTTCAAAACCACTAGAGCACCTTTCACACCAGTCACTCTTTAAGGACACAAAGCTGGGTTCAGTGCTAAGTCCCTGATGGACGCTAAAAAGAAGGAAAAAAAACATAAAACTCTTTACTGCATGGAGCTATGTGCGATGACGAAATATATCGGATGATGAATTAAAACATCTATCGTTTCATGTCTATCGTTTGTTTCATGGTGTTGCGAAATATTGTTGTTTTTTTTCTTCTACCGCCTACACAACAATCACATGAAAGAGTATGGAGAGAATTTAGAGATGAGAAGCAAAAAAGAGCCGTCAAGTGCTCAAAGTAAACCTTAGACTCAAACATTAAAACAGGCTTTTCCCCACAGCAAGAAAATAGCAGCCGTTAAAACTCATGTATAAAAGTAAATAGTTTCAAAAAACTCAACTCCAGATATATGACACCCAGCTGAAAACACTTCACCCAAGTCGAGTTGCCCGAGATTCACAGAATATATCGTTATCGGGATATGAGATTTTGGTCATATCGAACAGCCATATCACTGCATATAAACTGCCAATAAGTGTAGTGATAATTTAATAGTGACACAAACTTACCTTTTCTTAGATAACTGTCTTCTTTTTGTGAATCTACAAATAAAAAACTTCATGCAGTTGCACTGTAAGCACACGCAGCTGGTTTCAGGCTCAAGCTCGGGTTCAGGTCCAAGTTCAAGCCCAGGTTGGTTCCTGTGAATAATGATGGAGCAGTGATGTGAGTGCTGAGCTGTGACATGGAGAAGAGTCATGGACAGTTAGAGATGGTCATCTCACCTTTGAGTGGTTTTAGAGGGAGGGACTCCCTCCTCTCTGTCCTCACACAGATCCATGCTGCTGAATTCACATCCACATCAGCTCACACACACTTTCTACCTTCACCTGAAGAGGAAACACGAATAATTTGCGTGGACATCAACTAAAATGATCATTTCCATCATGTGTGCTGTCCAAATATCAGCTGCTTCTTTCCTGCTTCATCTCAGTGTCAGCTGAATGCAGTCAGACAGCAGTGTGAGGCAGAGGAAGCTGCAATCAGCTGCTCTACTTCTGCTATCAGTCCACTAGAAGAAGCCATGAAGCACACATGATACATTCACTGATACACAGTGACTGCTGTTACTGACAAGCTTCTTTCATCAAAAGCCAAAGTGATCTGAATGAGCAAAATTAAGTTTGCTCATGCAGATAAACTGTGTGAGCGCAAAGCTGCTGCAGCGTGAGCATAGGGGAAACTCTGGTGGGTGTGGGGGCGTCTTTGTGCGAGTGGCTGCTGGGTTCTGCTTGCCTGGGTTGTTGAATTTGGTGTAGGAGACCGGAAATAAAAAGACACATAT